CGTGGTCTGGTTGGACATCTGGACCTGAGTCCACAATCAGGATGCCGATATCGTCAGTCGGTCTCGTCTCTGTGCTGGAGCACAGATGGAAGAGCCCTCAGTATCGCGACTAGACGAGGGGAGATACAGGTAAATGAGCTCATAGAGGTTGGAAACTTATTCAGACCAAATGTGGTATGGGGGGCTCTGTGAGAAGGGAAGTGTCATATTTACTGAATCAGCAGGATGACTGTTTGTGGTGTCTTTGTCTCTCTTTGACTCTTTAGTTGTGGGATGTCGAACACAAGCAGAACATGAGGTTTCTGCTGTCACACCTGAGTGTGGTGAGAGCTCTTTCCTGGAAACAGCAGTTACTTAGCAGGTACCCATTTGGTTTGTTCTGGTATTTAAAGAATGTGCTGTTTAATAATGAAATGGAAAAGATTGACCAATTTGGAAATTCTGCTAAATAAATGAATGAATAAATAGGATAGATAGGCTTAGGATAAGAGCTAAAGTCATACAGCTTTATCTCTTTAGTGGAAGAAATGTAGATGAATTAGTCACGGACAGGGTAGGAGACACTTAATCAATAAAAGTGTCCATAAAAGTAGTGTTTTTTCTGACAGTGGATCTGTTCTTGGACATATCTGTCACCTTGACCCACGGGCTTTCACACCTCTGGTAGGTGCAGCCACCCAGAGGGAGGGGGTCTGCAGTCTGCAGTGGTCACCAGGAGGCAAATGGCTGGCCAGCGGCTCCACAGAAGGCCTTCTCCACATCTGGGATGATGACATCATGGGAACAAAAATGTCAAGTCAGCCAATAATGACAGTGAAGCAGCCCAGTGCTGTCAAGGTCTGTGTACTTGGATTTGGAGGCTAAAAGTAAACTGTTTGGCATTTTTAAAGGCTGACACAGCCAGAGTTACAGAGTTTGAGCAGACGTCAAAGCAGTTAAATGTGAATAAGAGGCTAATGGTTTTAATGTGTAAGGATTTTGGGTTAGTAAACAGAGATTTAAAAATGCTGTTAATGTATCCACCTTTTGTGTGTGTTATTTTTTTAGGCAATGGGGTGGTGCGCATGGCAGGGAAACATTATTGCTACAGGAGGGGGATGGAAAGATGGTGAGCTGAGAATCTGGGACACACAATCAGCATCTTGTGTTACTTCTGTCCAAACAAATTCACAGGTGCTTGAGAATTACAGTGTTGTGGATATTTTTGTTTTGCTGTATATAACTGCTGGATAAACTATTACTATTTACACTCATTTGCAGATATGTTCTCTACAATGGGCTGAAAAGAAGAGATGTCTGGTTACAGGTCATGGCCTACCTCATCACAGAGTCACATCTTGGGTGTGGGAGTTTCACTCTCTCAGCCCCATTTACCAGTTCACAGGTTAGAAAACCAAAAAAACACAAGACTGTTCTACATTACTACAACCTTTTTATTAATAAAGTAAATAATTCTGTTTAATGCAACGTTAAATTGTATGAGTACTGCTGTCTGATACTATCTCAACTTAGTCTCAACACATTGACAACATACTCATAGGAACAAATGTTGTTGCGTCAATAACACAGTGAGTAATATTCTCACAGAAGCAGTTGTTGTCAGTGCAGCAGCTCTGTCACCTACCACTAATGTCTTTAATGGCCATCGTGTGCTGAGTGATTCATGTTCTGGGCTTCCCTCTAGTGAATATGAAACTAAGGTTGCTGGTTTTAATATGAGCTGTCTCACTGTCCTGTCGTATTGTGAGCTGGTGTTAGAAAACCAATACTTACGGCTTAAGGGGAGAAAAAATGAGAAATAAACTGCTAACAGAAATGCTAAATTCCTGTTTTTTCTGGTCAGGGAGGCTCAAACCAAGCACTGAATGCAAAAGACACTTTTACTGAAAACCCACTAACGTGTAATATTGAATAATTTAACTTAATAAAAAAATTATTAAGTAATTTTCAAAATTTACTTTTTTTAATTTAAGGTTTTTTTGTACTTTTATATTTTAAATGAAAACTTGACGGTCATTCTGCGCTATTTTTCAGAAGTGCAATTACTGATATCAACCCTTGTGGTAAAGTCCTATTCCCATAGGAATACTGGTTATGATAAGAGAGGGAAATTGACTTGTTTTCATAATGGAAAAAAATAAACAAAAACAAAATAGTATAGCTCCCATTGAGTTGCACCAATGCAGGCCGTTATTCTGTAGGCAGATTTTTAGTCACCATTTTCTTGGTTAACCACAGTCATAAAGTCCCCCTTCTCATTTTTGCCAATAAGGCTCTGATTGACTCAGTTGTACTGGCAAACAAGGAGAAGTTGTTACTGAATGAGATGCTTGTTTGAATCACAGACAAATATGTGCGCAGTGAGGTTTGGAACAGAGTGCTTATATTGTTCAGTTTTTGGTATTATCTATTTTTTACATTTAACTTCATGTTGCTTTTATTTCATTATCTATAAAAATCAATGTAAAAAGGCATTATAATCAAGGTAGTACAATTCAATATTAATTCCCTGTTAATGTGGCATTTTCTTACTACTTATACCAACAACAATAACTGATTTTCAGTTTTTTTAAATAATATATTTTTTTCTTTTTTTAACCAGGTCACTCGGATCGAGTCCTTCACTTGACCTTAAACCCTGACAATTCTCAGATCTTCTCCACCGGTGCGGACCAGCGCTTTCACATCTGGGATTTGTAGTAACCAGCGTCATGGAACCGTGACATTCATATTGATAATAAAGTTCTTTAGCATCTGGTTAGAAATAGGTCTACAATTGATTACCACATAAGTGCACATTGCTGCTTTCTTGGCAATTGTGTCATAGAGACCACACATTTCCCTCCCATGATGTCAACCACAATTCGAAGCCAGTTTACCATCAGCTCACACCTTTTGTCATGCATCGTGCATGCCGGTAGCACAGGTTTCCTGTTTTAATAGCTAGACGACATGAATCTTTTGTATAGTTATGATATGACAGATATGCCATACTGACTACTATCATATGAAAGGTAACAAAAGACAGACATGGGACATGTTTTAGTGTACACATATATGAAATAGCTCAGCACCAACAGTTGAAATCTGCTGCTGCTGACTTAAGGCTAATCAGCATTTATTTGTTCTGTATGTGAATTCACTTTGAGTTTGTTGTGTTTTTATTTATATTACATTCTGATATGTCTTCATTGTAAATTTTGACTTCCTGAAATGTTTTTTTTAATTATATTTTGCACAATAAAATCAAATTTAGGAACCTAATAGTAGAATACACTCTGTCAGCCTGAGGTAGCTTTTATTCTTGCCCCCATGATATGAAACATCCCCACTACCTATTTTACCTAGAAATAGAGTGAAGGCTTTGTGGTTTGTTTTAAAAGTTATGTGTTTAGTAGTTAAATCACTTAGACTTAAGTTAAATATAAAATGAAGCAGAATAGATTTCTGCTTGAAAAGACTTTGTGTGTGAGCATATGTGCTGCAAAATTTGACTTGCAAGAGTGTGACCAGAGAAGACTTAAGAGAACACTTTGTGCAAAAGCACTGTGGTGAAGACTTCCTTTATAAAAAGAGAGCAAGACCCCCCCCCCCTACATGAGTTATTTCTTATAGGTTATATGTTCAAAGTCACACTGAGATGTCGGAGCAAACGTACAATGACTGAGGTTGGTTTATATAGTCCCTGTAACCTCAGATGTCTGCAAAGTCTAGCCTACGCTGTTCCACTTTTGACTAAGATGATATGTAAGGTCAAGATGAATAATGTCAACACTCAGCTGAAAGCAGCAACATGCCTCAAGTGCAGTCTGAAATGAAGCCCAGTCAGCAAAGAAACTGAAATTTTTAAAAAAAGAACTGAGAAGAAATCTGCATAAGTTGTGTTTTTCTGTGAGCTTACTGCATCCCAAATGCTTTACAAATATGCTGGCCTTTAACGCCAGGTCAAAGTCATGATGGCTCCACTCAGCATAAACTGGCTGCACAAAAAGGGTC